ATGTGCTTCTCTATGTGTGCATTATTAAACCAAAGCTCCTCCATCTTATCAGCGCACAGAAGCTGTTCGTATCTCCTGCTTGTGTGCTTGGGATAACGTTCTGTGCATGTCCCCTGTCCTCAGGGACCATCCTGCTGTCATAAAGAGACGCTTCACCAGCGTCCTGATTGTGTCAGGTCTGTCGCCCCTGTTTGTGTGGGCATGGAGAGAATCTGCAGGCGTCGTGGTGAGTTGATCTTGGATAACTGTGCTGTGTTCCAGTCCCTCAGGATGGACATTTTGTGCTGCGTTGTATCACAGTTTCTATTTTCATTTGTGTGTCAGAACGGCCCGTCTTTGCTGGTTCTCATGGGGATCCGGTTTGAAGGCCTCATTCCTGCCATCATACTTCCTCTGCTCCTCACCATGGTAAGAAACAGCCAATGTGCTTACCTAACATTACTACTGCGTTAGTACATGTTCATCGTTAAACTGCTTGATTGGATTTTGGGAAAGAAAACATTTATTTTTCTTTAGTTTGAATGATGAAAACATCAGTTGTGGGAAACATGCACGCTTTTGTGTCCTTGTAATGTCACTCAGAGCAAAATATGAGAATGTATAGAAACTATTTCAAATAATAATTTAAATTGTTACTTTATTAATGTTCACACACTTATTTTCAACCTAAAATATTCACAAATGTGATATTTATACAAATATACTGAGAACTGTGAATCTGTAGTTAAATGTTTTAGTGTTGCTTTCATTCGTACTTACATTCACCTACAACCACAGCAGAAAAGTAGCCAGAGAGATGAAGAAAGGAGGCGGAAATACTCAGAGTCTATGAGTTCAACAAACAGGCTGGTGGCAAAAACAAAAAGGCTTATAGTGACTCACATGTGAGGCTTGACACTGAGGAAGGAGAAAAGGACTTCTACCATGTGGCTAGACAGAGTCATAGAGAGTCTTGAACGAATGTACTGAAGAGGTGGAACCTCTTGAGGAGCTGGAGGAAAGAAAAAGGAGAGTGAAGAGGATGGATGGAGGACAGCGAGGGCAACGCTGGCAGCTGGTCTAGATGACATGTCTGTGG